CGGACAGCCCAAGCCCGAGCTGGGAGTGGGTCCCACTAAGTCGAGCTGGCCCTTAGGCCAGTTCAACCCGAGTTCAAGCCCGAGGGCTGTTGTTGACGTCATCGCTACAGTGCCCACGTGCTACAGTGCTATGCGCTACCGTGCCGCTAAAGTCCACGTGTCGCACTCTAGGCTCTTCGGTCATATTTCTTTCTCCAATCCAACGTCAACCAATTTTTGTGCAATAAAAAAATGAAAAAAAAAATCAAATTTTTTTTTAAAAATTACTGATTTTTTTTTTCTTTTTTAAATACCAATATTTTATCCGATTGAGATATGAATTTTATAATAAATATTGACACGTACGAACCCAAAAATCTTATCTGAAAATATTATCTAAATTAATTGTTTAGGTAAACAAATTTGTGAAAAAAATAAAAAAATGAATAGTAATTGTCATTTGCCATGGTAATGAGTGAAAACACACAATACTATTTGCAAGGGCAACTACTATTCACGTGAATAGTGACTGTCCTAGGGTAAATGGGTAGAGTTGCTCTAAGCGAGAAGGCCGAGAGTAATTTGATGGCATTAATCAATTAAATGGGTCAACTAAAGTTAACACGAATTACCGCCTCTAATTTTCCTAATTTTGGAGTTATTTTTTGGGTGATTATGGGTCCACATCTCCGGTGCAAATAGAAGCTGCCAAACCCAAAATGCAGACTGTCAAAATATCCAATTCTTTTTCTGTTATCCCATGATCAAACCATCACCAGTTCTTGGAGAAAACCCAAGATAAGAAACTGAGAGAGACTTCATCCTCACTTCACTCTCCCCTGCCCTCCACAGTCCCTCAGAAGCAAATAATGTCTGCCACTCTCTTTCTCACTCCTCTTTCCACTCTACTAAACACTACCCATCATCTTCCCTCTCACTCAAACCCACGATTCCATTCATACAATCCCATCTCATCTGCCTTAAACTCAAAACCTCCACAAAACCCCAAACCAACTAACCCAATTCCCTCAAAATCTCCGAATTCTCTCTCACTCAGCTCCACCACGACAACCCCGAATTCGAAGGCTCCATCAGAGCCTAATTCAAGCACTGACGCTTGTATTAAGGCGCCCACAGCTCCATGGATGAAGGGTCCTCTTCTTCTTCAACCCCATGAAGTCATTGACTTCTCAAAACCCCGAAACAAGAAGACCCACAACAATGCCAAAGCCGAAAAGCCGGATACTGTGCTGGCTGGGAAGTTAGTTGGCATTAGAGGCGATAAAGCAATCAAGCAAATTGTCCAAAGCATTGAAAGGCTTGGACCAAACCAGAAAACAGATGAAACCCAGAAAGGTTTTGGGGAATTTAGAATTTGGGATTCCTTGGAGGGACTTGGACAAAATGAAAAATGGGATGAAACCCACAAAGATTTTGTGGAGTTTGGAATTGGTGGTTGCTTGGAGGGACTTGGAAAAGCTGCGGAATCGAGATTTGGCGGGAAAATGCCGTGGGAGAGGGATGAAAGGATCGTCTTTCAGAGAATAAAGAAGAAAAGGGTGGCAAGTGCAGCCGAACTGAGCCTCGAGAAAGAGTTGCTTGAGAGGTTGAGAGGTGAGGCTGCTAAGATGAGGAAATGGGTGAAGGTCAAGAAAGCTGGGGTCACTCAAGCCGTTGTGGATGATATAAAGTTCATTTGGAAAACAAATGAACTTGCCATGGTCAAATTTGATGTGCCTCTCTGCCGGAATATGCATAGAGCTCAAGAAATAGTTGAGGTTAGGTTTGTTCTTTTGCTTTACTGTCTTTTTTCATGCAGAGAATGTTATATTCTGACAATTTCTAATCATTTTCTTGAGTTTAACAAAACTGATTGTAGTGGCTTCATATTTAATGTATAATTAATAGGAAGGATTATATTCTAGAATGACATAGCTTTACTGTTCAAAGATTTGAGTAACACTAACTAATATAATGTAACTGAAGTCATTCTACATTAGCCAAAATTTATCTGCTGATATGGGAAAGCTTTAGTTTCATGCTACTTGATGCCCAAAGTACTTTTTGTCTTGGCATAACATCTAATTGTTGTTCTGCAGCATTTCATTTTTTGAAATATATGCTTTATGTTCAGTTACTTTGGTTGTCTGCTTGAAGAACATTGAACTTAGAGATTCATTTCAATAACAGCTCGTGTAGCGTGGGACTTTTGCCTGTTGGGATTCTTCTTACAAAATTAGAGATAGTTATTATGAGAGTTGTATTAACTGATCAACATTTGTATGCTGGTTCAATTCTTGTATATATATTTGTGTTCTTATTACAGTTTCCAGTGATGATGATATATATGTGTGTGTGTGTGTGCGTGCATATATTTCATATACAGACCAAGACTGGAGGCATGGTTGTTTGGAGAAAGAAAGATACACTTGTAATTTATAGAGGATGCAATTATCAGTCGAGTTCAAAATTTTTTCCAAAGATGCGCCCATGCTCTGCTGACCGTCAAGAAACATTGTCCTCCGATCACATGCAGCCGGATTTGGAAGAAAGTAGTAGTTATCAATATAAATCATTTGAAAGTCCTGTGGATGAAAAGATGAGCGGAAAGGATGCAGAAGAGGATTGTATTCAAACTGGAACCTCTCAAGAAACCAGTATGAGTTGCCAACCCACTACTAGGTCATTATATGAGAAGGAAGCAGATAGATTATTGGATGGCTTGGGACCTCGATTCATTGACTGGTGGATGCACAAACCTTTGCCAGTAGATGCGGACTTGCTTCCGGAAGTGGTTCCTGGGTTCAAAGCTCCAATTAGGCGTTGTCCACCACACACTAGATCAAAGCTGACAGATGATGAACTAACATTCTTGAGGAAGTTTGCTCGCTCATTACCTACTCATTTTGTCTTAGGTATTACCTTTCCTGCTGTTATATGTCAATTTGTCCCCAAAAAAGGACCATACTTGGCAATGCATGCATACATTTCTATATATTCAACTTCTCTACTTTTGTTTGCCTTTTTTTAAATTTTAATTTTTTTACTTTCTGAAGGAAGGAACAGAAAACTTCAAGGCCTCGCTGCTGCCATTTTAAAATTGTGGGAGAAAAGTCTTATAGCGAAGATTGCTGTGAAGTTCGGAGTTCCGAACACAAACAACGAGCAAATGGCATATGAGCTGAAGGCAAGTTTAAGAGAATATATGCACATACATGACATCCATTATTTTTTGAAAACCTTACTTATGCATATCGGTATTGGGTAATTAAAGGTGTATATTAATGACTCATCTTTTGTGGGAAAAATTGCCTACCTATTAATTTCCTGAACGATTATCCGCCTGATCAGAATTCACAATTGCCAATTCTTCTTTTCAACAAAAAATCACAATAACTTCACCAAGCTTGAGCCATAATAGATAAATTCAATTAAGCTGTAATCTCAACAAGAAAATGAAGCCTTAATCTCAACTAAGTACGTATTGGCTTACAGCTTTCATTTTTTCATTCATCCCTACCTGAAGCTGTTTTCTCTTTTGCACTTTGAGGGCATGTCCTTAATGTTACTTGCACCTAAGTCATTGGGTATCATGTTGTCGCTTTTCCACCAAGTTGTATGAAATTAACTCTTTCGCTGGTCGACATGCATGCCTATGTTCCATTTCTACATTGCAACTGCTGCATATTGCTTGTGAAATATAAATGTATTTTAAAGGTAATTTTTATTAATGCAGTGTCTCACAGGAGGAGTTCTGATACTACGTAATAAGTTTATTATATTACTTTATAGAGGCAAGGACTTCCTTCCTTGTGGGGTTGCAGATTTAGTAGCAAAAAGGGAAGTGGAGCTCACAAGATGGCAACTCTATGAAGAACATGCACGCCAAAAAGCAATTGAAACTTTTTGTGAATCTGGTGAACCATTAGTGAATACAGTTGGAACATTATCAGAATTCCAAGATATCCAAACAGAGTATGGAGAACTTATAAAAGAAAATAAGAATGTCGAAATTAAGCTGGAAGCTGAAAAGGAACGACTAGAGAGGGAACTGAGGAATCAAGAAAGGAAGTTTTTCATTGTAAGATTCTAACTCGTAAAACATTCATTACCGCTTTTCTTTTTCATAATTGTTTTGTCAATCATAATAGTTTGTTATTGTTTTTTCAGCTAAACAAAAAAATAGAGAAATCAACAAATGAGTTATCAAAGTTGAATTCTCAAAGGACACCTGCTGAGCAGGATGTTGACCAGGAAATGATGACTGAAGAAGAGAAAGAATGTTTACGAACGATAGGACTGAAGATGCATAGTTGCTTGGTGCTCGGTAAAGAGAAACTTTCATCACTTATAAACATTAATAGCTCTAACCCTGTAATCTTTATTCTCCATACATTCATTATCTTCAGTGTTATATTTATATAGACTACTCATTAGTCCCATATCACAACTTGAAAGGAATTTCACTTTTAGTGTCACTATTTGGATCATGTGAAAGTAAAATGTCTGAAGGATACATATATATATATATATATATATATATATATATATATATATATATATATATATATATATATATATATACAGAAATTCTCCTATGCGGACGTTCGGATGTTATTACGGTGTGGACGCCATGTATTTTCTACTACCCCTCCTTGTTTTCCTCCCCATTTACAATGGCATCCACACAGTAATAACGTGCGGACATCTGGATGAGAGATAACTGTATATATATAGAATATATTTTTTGTGTTGGTCAATGGATTCCTTATGGCTGATGGAGCTTTATCTTTTTGCTGCCCAAAACCATCCTTGGTTTATTTTTCTTTTTAATAAGATAATAGATTAATCTTGATTGTTGCAATTTAATTTATATATATGTGTATAACCATTTATTGTTGTTTCAGATTTTATTCTTCTTGCTTCTGAATTATGGTTCGATTTCATCTAATAAAAATAAAAAAGTTTGGAATGGTCATGCCCGTGGTTTGCTCCATGTGGTCTAAGGTTCGAAACCCCCCAGGCTAGCTATTTGCTAGTGTTTCCTTGCCTCCCAAAGATTGTAGGGTTGGGCGGGGCCCCAGTTTCAAAGCTGTGTCCTCAAAACGGGATTCGTGAATTTCTGGGTATCACAAAAAAAAAAAAAAAAGTTTGTATTTCTCAGGCTGGGAACAAAATCAGATTCTCATTACTAAAGATCTTAAATTCCTAGCCACATGGAGGTTCCAACTCAAAGATGTTTTAGCAGTCTGCTACTAAAGTTTAAGAGAGAGCTAGGTTGTTTTTTTAAAAGCAGCACAAATGACATAATGCTTTCCTTTGCTTTTCCTTTCTTCATACATTAATTAGAATTCCTTTTGATTATGATATGTTGCCTATTCCTATTGATGTTTTCCTAATAATGTTTTCATAAATCTCTCAAAGCCCAATGATATATCTGGTGTTATTTAACAGTTTGTCTGGAAGGGGCACTAGTTCTATTTTGAAGGTTTAATTTAAATCTTGTTCTTCCTGGTTTGATAAGTTGTTCTTTATATCATACCTTTTTACTTCATTGTCGGCTTCAGGCAGGCGTGGGGTTTTTAATGGTGTAATGGAAGGTCTTCATCAGCATTGGAAGCACAGAGAGGTAGTCAAGGTTATTACGATGCAGAAACTGTTTAGACAGGTCATGCACACTGCAAAGTTGCTTGAAGCAGAAAGTGGTGGGATTCTAGTTTCAGTGGATAAGCTAAAAGAAGGCCATGCTATTATTATTTACCGTGGGAAAAATTACCAACGGCCTTTAAGGCCAACAGGGGGGAATCTTCTATCTAAAAGAAAAGCATTGCATAGATCTCTTGAAATGCAGAGAATTGGAGTAAGATCTTGTTTTCCTATCATTCTACTATTTCTCTAACTTTGTTTGATACCACTGTTTCCAATACTAATCCACTTCCTTCTTTTCAATCTCAGTCACTCATGTTTTTTGCATCCCAGAGACAGCAAGCAACCTTAGACTTGAAACTCAAACTGGTAAGATTTTCAATTTTTTTCCTGAAACAAAATGCTTGAGGCTTACTCTTCCATCTTTTTCAAGTTATGTCTAATGTGCCTTACAAATCCTAACTAAATCCTAAATGAGTTAACTTTCTTCGATCTTTCTTCCATTATCAGCAAGTTTCTTTGTTTTTTTATCCTCACTTTAAAACTTTTATGCCAAGCTAGACGTCTAATATGACTTGTTTCATGTGTTGCCTCATTAGTAAGAACTTCAAAATGAACCTAAAATCATTTTGAGCCCATGAATGGCAGGAAACTCTGGAAAAAAGCAGAGGAGTTGATCAAAGAGAATCTGAAGTTTGAAATACTATTGACTAATTGATGTATCATGCTGTTTCCCTTGAATTTTCGGCTCCTTCATGTTGATTTGCCATAGGACAGAAATTTCTTCTCAGTCATCAATTCACTTTACAAGTAAGTAGGCCTTGGAATCTCAAAGTATTAGTCTGCAAAATTGTTCGTATCATATATTCCCCAAGCATTTGACTATGATAGACTAGTTCACATGTACACCAGATTTTAGCTTAGATACATTATATCTCTACAAAAGAAAAAAGTTAGGTCAGTTCTTTATAACCTTTTGGAGAAAAGCTTGAGCCAATTCGTTTTAAGTTCACTTCATTGTACACGATGTATTTAATAATACACTAGAATGTCCTGCCTAGTATGATTTTTCTCTGCCAGGTTAAGCATAGTTTGTGTCATTCAGTTAGATTATGAGATCCATTTAAACTCTCTTAATAAATCGTATCTGTTCCTAATATTAGAAAATTTATAAAATCTGTTGCTTGCATTCTGAATCCCCATAATCTGCTTGGTCTCAGTCATCCAATCACTGGTTAAATTGGTTGTTATAAGCATCTTAATAAGGAATTTGGACTTGCTTTTTCTTCTTATTTTTTTTTTTTTAAAACTTTTGTAATCGAAAAGCATTGTTATATTTTATATTGCCAACAAAAAGAAATTACTGATCGATGGCCTGAAAGTAGTTTCTTGAAATTGAAAGAGAAAAATAGAAAGGATGTGAGAGACTTGTCAGTATGAAATTTTATTACTTTTGCGCAAACAAAAACTACTTTTTGATATGGATCTTGAGTTTATTGTGTAATCTTGAAACTAATTGTTGCTGAGGACTTCACTGTAAAATTGTAATGCATTTGTATGACATTCACCTTTGCTTTAACAATTCAGGTTGCAAGACTTGAATTTACCTGCAGTTACTGCTACTTGATAACTTGATAGTAATTACATTGCATGCAGTATTTTTTTGAACAATTTGGAACCTCATTTCTGTTTCTAAATCGTGGATTTTATTGAGATGATGATGTTGTGCCAGAATGATGAGATCTTGCTGGAGAAGCCAAGAATATCTTTGGAGGAATTTCCATGGTTTGAAGGCTACCTTCCAGCATTTCTATCACCTTACTCATGGATGGCCGATCAGAGGGATTAATCTGAATGCACCACAAACTTATCAAAATCATTTTCCTTACCATTTGTTCTTCCTTAGTAATCCCTTGGAGACCTAAATCCCTCAGTTTTAAATGCTATGGCTTTCACTTTCTTCCAATATTTTGTTAAAAATATGATGTGGAAATACAAATAAGTACTACACTAGGAAAAATTGATGAAGCGGGTTAGTGAAAGTGTCATTTGTGTGGACATTCTCTCTACAGTGACGTCTTGAGTTAAAAAAATTATTTCGGATGCACCGGTTGAGCAGCATAGGAGGCCGGTAGACTAGCCCGTTGATTTTGACTGAAGGATGCTAGATCATTCAACTGGCAGCGTGTTTTTATCATATTTTTTCTATATTTTCAGTCACATTTTTTATAGGGTTAATTATCTTAAGTATAGAATAACCGTACAAACTTAGATTTTGGGTTCTGGGCCCCAAAACTCGAGAGCTAAAACTTCAAATCTAAGCGAGAAACTGTGCTGGTTGACCTGCATATTCATTAGTTTAGGATGAATTTCCTATTCCAAAATGAATTTTAAAAGAACAAGGAAGACATACCTGGTTTTATCCGAACCCTTGGACATTTAGATAGATAAGGCTGATCAGGGCAATTGCATGAAAATCCTGTTGAACTCAGATTATGCCCGCACTGCCCTACATGCATCACATAGACTATTATTTGCTGTCTACAACAATCTAAAACCACCTTGTAAAACCGCAGCCAGACTGATTGGATTGTTTTGTAGATTTAACAATGCCGTTCGATCTGCAGGAACGTTGACGTGGCTGTTCCACATGCCCAAATGACTGCCTGCTGATGTTAGGTTCCTTGCCACATCGTAGTAGCTGAAGTTGCCTGTGTCATTTCCATTTACTGCGCAATCAATTGACTGGGGAGAAAGCTCTGGAATTGAAGGGCATCCACACTACAGTATGAGCTTATGACTATCAGAAGCTTAGTTAAAGAACCGGCAATCCAGAGTAGTATTGACGACAATGCCTGCTGGACAAGTATTGTTCCACAAATCTGCAAAGGCAACTTTGAGAGTCTGTCATGTTGTTGATTCCAAAAATCTGGTAACGTTGTGACATGATTGAGATCTCAGGGCCATCGGTTTTGCATTCTAGTTCAAATGCAGGGTGGCCGCAGTACTCTGGCCGGTGGAGACCCCAGAATGGATATCCTATGTCATTGTCATCTATTCCTGAGCACCAAAATGTTTTACTGCAGTTTAGGTATTGCTTATCATAGCCAGCAGACAGAGAGGGGAGGACATTTGCAATAGAGTGAAGGAGAAACAAACACAGGCAACAAAGTTTCATTTTTCTCTCCGTGGAGCTAAGAAAGCCAGAAATAGAACTCAGATATGGAAAGTGAAGTTATTATGTTTCTGTAAATGTACATATTCTTTTTGTTTTCTTGAGACAAACAGTGTTTGAATTCAATGGCTTTTCCCAAGGAAATGACTTTGATTCTTCTTTCAGTTAATTTCGCATGCACCTGCACCAGAGAAGAGTAAAAGAGGCCAAGACAAATCCTGTTGTCTAGAAGGATGACTATATTTAACTAGAGTTATTTTGACTCCATTGCTGATGCTACCTCAGATTGCAGGTAACAACGAATTAGCACACATAAGTAGATGCTTACTATCTTGGGCATAATCATAACTAAACTATTTTTTTTCGCCTTGTACTTGTAGCTTGAAGATTTTTGTTCCAATGACAGTCCTAGCACTCGTTATTCTCATTCCAGTCAATGTATCAAGTGGAACATTATTTTTCCCAAGGAAAGAATTAGTTTTGACTTTTGAGTGACATTGATAAACTCTCTATATCAAATGTGCGCCCTAAATCCATAAGGTAACTCTGTAACTCTTTTATACTTTTACAAATATTCAGATTTGATGATAACTGATTAACGTATGAGGTGCAGTATTGACCTCTCTTTAATTGAAATTATGCATAAAAAATATGACGTTCTTGATATTAATGAGCAAATGAAGGTCAAAATAACACCATTGTTATGCATACATTTTTAATTTTTCATGTTCAACACACATCCAGTAATTATTTACTTACCCATGATAGCGCATAGATGAGAAGAATATTGTTGTACCTGGATTGTTATATTGAATTTAACATTAACACATGCCTAAATTCCTTTAGTTGGATAGTTCTTTTTTTATTTGGATAGTTGAATTTGTGATTCCATTAATCCAGTAAAAATAGATTGAGCCAATAATATAATAGGAGTGATATTATTTCTAATTTCACCAACTATAAGGTATTCCAAGTATTTGTTAAATAAGCAAGTACTAGAGTGTTTTCTGGTCAAGGGATTTCATTGTTGTACATATTAGCCATGGTGTACTGTGACACATGTAAAATCAAAATGTAAAAAATAAAAAAGAAAGAAAAAGAGAGTAATAGTGCAAGACAATAATGATGAATGTATTTAGGGTGGAAGGAGGGAGAATTAGAATTGTATATTGAAATTAAAGATCTGGTATCTGCCGCTATATTTTTATTTTGTTTTGTTTTGTTTTGTTTGTTTGCCATTGTATTCTATTTTATCATTTATCATATACGAATGCAGATTTTACTAAAGGGTTGAAATCTATGCATTTCAGGTTTTTTTTTCCACATAGGATTGGAAGACTTGTTCACACTCTGGACTTGTTACATGTTATACAAGGAGTATGACTATGTGGCATCAATGAGATTACAATTCTTAGCTTCACAGCGCAGGCGTGCAGAACAGTTCACAGTGAGTAAAATCATCAATTACCACATAAGAATCCATAAGAATTAAGTGGAATTGGTAAGACATTAATAAATAAATAAAAAGGAATAATAAGAGAGGTATGTTTTTCCCAAGGCTTTTGGATTCTCTCTCGCTCGTGAGGAGAGACTAGCATTAGGGTTAGGGTTTGGATATAGGTTATGCCCTTTGGCCGCCGTAGTTGTCAAACTTCTTCTCCCAACACGTCATCATCCTCCCGTCATGCTCTTCTCTTTCGTCGGTGTGTTCTTCGGAAATTGTCTCTCTTTGTGGCTGCTTGGGATTGTGGTGGGTGGCTCATCACCTTGCTCATGGGTTTTCGGACGAGACTGTTTGGCTTGGTGGTTCTGTCATGGTGTCCTAGAGTTCGTATTTTAGTTGGTTTGCTGGTTTTTGGTGAGGTCTGTTTGGCGTGGTGATTCTGTCGTGGTGTTCTTAGGGTTCGTGCTTCGCTAGTGGTCTGGTCTGGTTTTTGCGTTGGTGTGTAGTTCTCTAATCTTGCGTGGTTGTGTGGCTTTGTGTCTTTAGCATTCGTGGTGACTTGGTGGTCAGGGTTGTGATAAGGATTTTTGTGAGGTTTTGGTTCTGCCAGCTAGGAGTTTATTGGTGGTTGGGTTCTATGAGTTCTTGGATCAAATGGATCTGGTGCGTTTTAGGATCCTCGGTGTTATGCATGATTTTTGGAGGATAGGGTTGTTGGTTGCAATCTCTATTCCCATATCTTCGGATTCTTTTGTGGTGAGGATTTGGGATCCAGGTGGTGATAGAGCGTTTACTGTTGTTGAGCCATATTTCGTCGAGTTTGCTGAAAAGGTGACGGGGGCCAACCTCGAGGGGTCTCCCAATTCCCCCTGATGTGTTCGCTGGAACGTTTGTGGGCTTGGCATCCGATAAACGTTCCTATTATGATGCTCTTTTGTTGGAAGTTCGTCACACGAAGAGGCCAATCTTGATCACCCCTGCCGTGTTAGGTAGGGTTCTAGATTAAGACTCATGGAGTTGGTATTGGTACTTCTGCTCGCTATGTTCTAACGATCACCACTCATTCTGTACATTGAACTATGTTTGCATGGGAGTTTTTCTTTGATAGTACTGCGTTGTGGCAGGTTGTTCTTTGCTGGGCCTGGAGTTGTGCTTTGTTTTGTCTATCTTCTTTTGGGTTCTTTATAGACTCATGGAGTTGGTATTGGTACTTCTGCTGACTATGTTCTTATGCTCACCAAACGTTGTTTTGTATATCGAACTATGTGTGCATATATAGGAGTTTTTCTTTTGCAGTCTTACATTGTAGTGGGTTGTTCTTTTCGGGACTTGGAGTTGTGCTTTTTTTTTTTTGTCTATTTTCTTTTGGGTTCTTTATAGCGGTCCAAAGTGGCCTATGTCAGACTCTCTTGTTAGTCCATCGTATGTTTTGAACGAAATTTTTTGATGGAAAATTGGAATGAGAAGAGTTTATGATTTTATATATCAGATTCTATATAAATAGATTCCATAGTTGCAAGGATGGATGTGGGTGAAAGCTACTAGCATAAGATTCCTATAAGTAAAATATAGATAAAAAAAATTTGATGGCCTAATGGAAAAGCGCACTTAGTTGATGTGCAGTTGGGATGTAGACTATTTTTCCATATTTTTGTCGGGTTATAGCCTAGTTAGAGGGGCCTAGGTACGTGCCTGACAAAGAACCATTTAGAATAGAAGGATTAGAAGAGAGAGATCTGATGAATCTAATTTCATTAGATTGCTCTCTCTCTTTCGTATCCCTCTATTAGACAATTGTTCATGCATTTATAAATGAGATAGTTGCTGTAAACAATAAAATTCCCCTCGGGAATTGATAATCGGTAAAGATTTGTGTTGATAATCTGTCAGAGATTGAAGTACAAGGGACTGCAACTATTTTTAGGCTAAAGTCGGAGTGATCTAGGGGACAAAAAAGAGGTGAAACATAGGCATGACAATTAGGGAAGAGGTCCTGATAAAGGTATTATTCTATGTATATTTGTTTTTCCTCTATCAATATTCCAGTGCCAAGTCTTCTGCAGCTATTGTAGGAAAAAACAAGAAAGGCTTGGGCGCAATTTGCAAGGAATGAAGGGGTCCTTCCAACATCTCTACAACTTTGGTCATTGATGGCCGATCAGAAGGATTGGTCTGAATGCACCAGAGACTTATTAATACCATCTTTCTTGCTATTTCTTTTTCCTCCTCTGTGATTGCCCCAAAAACATTCTCATCCTTGTCTAGCTCTAGATCTTTATAAATGTAATGTGGAAACATTTCACTCGTATGAGACACTCCCGAATCCAAATTCTTTCTTGCCCCAACCATTTCAAGAACCAACATCCCGTAGCTGTAAACATCAGATTTGTGAGACACTCCTCCAAAGTTCCGACTAAACACTTCTGGTGCAATGTATCCTGCAGTCCCTCTTGTGCCCATCATCGATACAATACTGTCCTTCGTTTTGCATAATTTGGCAAGGCCAAAATCAGAGATTTTTGGGCGAAAATCTTTGTCGAGAAGAATGTTCTGTGGCTTTATGTCAAAATGCAAAATTCTTGTGTTACATCCACCGTGTAAGTATTCTAGTCCTCGAGCAATACCAACTGCAATTTCAGATAGCGTTTTCCATTCTAATCGAAAATTTGCCATTTCAGATCCGTGCTTATGTATGAAATTATCCAGAGATCCATTAGGCATGAACTCATAAATCAAAGCTCTTTTGTCCCCCTCGTAACAGAATCCAAAAAGAGTGACTATGTTGACATGGGAGGTTCTACCAATGCTAGCAACTTCATTAACAAAGTCTTCTCCATTACCCTTGGACTCGCTTAGGACTTTGACCGCCACCAGAAGCCCATCAGGTAGCCTGCCTTTGTACACGGTTCCATATCCACCTTGACCTAGTTTGTCTCTGAAAGAGTCTGTCATTTTCCTGACATTTGCATAGGTATACCGCTTTGGAGTAAGCGATCCATAGTTCCTTATAAATGCCTCAACATCAAACTCATCCCTCTTATCTTTCTTGACGAATAAGACCATTCTTTTTCTTGATATGTGTGGGGGCGATTTTCGGACATTTTGCTTCCACAATATGCATATAATAATACAAAGAATGATTATTATCACGGAAAATCCACCAACAGCCAAACCTGCAACAAAATACTTGTTTCATTATAATTACTACAACGAAAACAAGTAACGAAGCAGTTACTAGATAGTATAAATACTGTTTTAAAGAAGTGAAATATTACCTATTGCAATTTCCTTCTTATTTCCTGAAACTGCCACAAGATAGAGAAATGTTAATCGATAAATGAATAATGAATTGATAAAATAAGACTATCGACAAATGTTAATCGATATATCTTTCTGGATTTGATCAACAAAAACTACCCTTTTTTGTCATTTGCTTATTTGCCTTAAATTTGGTCATTGTGTCGCTAATTTTACTCAATCGAGTCAAATTGTTGCCAAATGCTTATAATTTGATAACATTCCATCTGTTTTTTCTTTTTTCTAAAACCTTAATATTAATTAATTAATTAGTATAGAATCAATAAGAACCCTATAATGCCAAGCATTGGTTGAGTTTGTAAAGGTCCTTATCTATGCTATCAAGGCCTAGGTTCGAATCCCGCTACCGAAAATGCCTATGAGTAGGTAATCTGTAAAAAAAAAAAAAAAAAAAAAAGGGTTAAGACCACCTCTGTAAGTCCTCAAAGAGACATTGGTATGCCCTGACCCTAAGATGGGATAGCCTCTCATTCCCCTAAACTTTTTTTCATTTAATATTCCTTTTTAAATATTTTATGATGTAATCTTTTTATTTATTTATTTTTTAAATCATTTTTGTTCCAATGTTGCTCCTCATAACTTGAATTGGGTAACACTCTTAAGGGTTTAAAAGTTTTACAAAATTTTCTATCCAAAATGTTCAATTTCTGAAATTCGTAGCAACATGATCTCTTTTCTTGTTTATGTCGAGTTCAGTAGTTTCTGTTTTTTGTTTCTGCACACAATTCCCGATTTCCGACCCAGGTTTTTAACAGACGAGCCTAATGACACACACCTAGGTAGCTGTCTAGGTTGTAATAAAAAACTGTGCACCAATCCTGGAATTCAATTCTGTAATTTATAAGAGAATGACAAGGGACAGACATACCTTCTGCTCCGGGTGCAGTTGCATTACATACGGTTGCATAGGTCTGATCGAGGCAAAAGCAACTGAATCCACCATTTTTCGTGTTAAGCCCACACTTCCCTCCTGATTCCACACAATTGGTGCATTGAATATTATCGATCTGCAATCCCAATTCAAAGCCCCCATCTACCACTTCCTCGATAGTTGTTCGATTGGCCTCTAGAGCCAGAGCAGCTGTCGTAAAAACCGGAATACTGACCCAATTTTTACAGGTACCGTTAGCGACGGGATCAAATGGGAGACTTCCCACGACATACGTAACATTGTCGTTGTTTGTATCGCAAGGTTGGGAACTAGAGTTAAGCCCCGGGGTATTTATACTTGCACACCCATAGTAAAAGGTCAGGTTTGTAAGCCCAGAAGTATAATCAAACAGAGAGAAGTTGATGTTGGTGTTGACATAAGTCTGAGGGCAGATAGTTTCCCAATAGTCCTGCCTGGCAACTGTAACAGAGGGAGCACTATAGTTGGTTTTAAGAATTCTGTAGTTGATACTCGATATGCTGATCATGGGGACATTATCTAGGCATTCCGCATCGAACCCTGGCGGACCACAGTAATTAGCTCGGTTTACTCCCCGAAACGGGTACGAGAGTCTGATGCCACCGCAGTTAATATCTTCGCCGCAGTTTGCATATGGTAGATCATCCTGGCTTAGACTCGACTCACCGTTGATCGAAAGAAAGTAAGTGATCAAAAGCAAAGGAACCACAGATTGAAGCCGTAGGGAGTGCATATTTGCTGGGAAGGCTCAGGATAAGTGACAAACCAATACGTGTGAAAAATAGAAAAAGGGAAGCACTGGATTACAACTAGGAAATTCACAGGTCGTGATGATTAAGGATGAGTCGTGTTTTTGGGGGCATAGAAGACTTCGAAATATTCAATGAATGGCATAGAAGATTTTCACATTATGATAGATATAATAATACAATTTTTGGCCACTTAACAAGGCCCAACCCCAATAAAAGAAAACCTACAGAAGGATAAATTTATAAGACTTATAGGTGAAACTTTTCTGTTGTTTAGAAGACTTTTCACTACTGAATCATCACAACTGTACATTGATTATTATCTGTCACCAATTCTAATTGAAAACTTGTGAAGTCCATTACAAATATTCCTTCAACAATTCAAATTCATGGGGTCCACACTGCTAAGGTGGTATAGAATTTTTTGCACTTCTCCTCTTGCAATTTCTGAATTTCTGTATAGGTAACTTTGAATCTTTGATTTAATTTGGTTTCAAATCAGGATTAAAGGAGACAAATTCCAATGGAGGACATAAATTGAAGTCTACGTGTTTCCCTCTTTTTGGCTAAGTAGGTCAAAGCAAAGATGTTTTAGTCCTTTTTGTCTTCAGATGCATAGGCGTTTCACTAGTGGCTTGGATAGAAAGATTGTGCGAGTGTATTTGCACTTTTGACTTCTAATCGAATGATTGATCGGCTATACAAGGAACCACATCTTAGCCTAGGTTATTTTAGAACAAATATGCTTAACGAAATATTTAACCATTGAAAAAACAAAAAAAATTTGAATTAATAAAAAAAAAAAAGAGTTTACATTCTCATTTCGGGTAATGAAAGCTGTTTCATTTTCCCAAGCCAAATTTCTTACAAATCAGCTGGAATTTCCTAATTAATGAAGATCTGCTGACGAAGCTAATTGCCTTTTATTGTGTTTCAGATGGTTGGGATGTGGTCACAGAGTCTTCTGCAGCTATTGTAGGAGAAAACAAGAAAGGCTTCGGTGTGATTTGCAAGGAATGAAGGGGTCCTTCCAACATCTCAACAACTTGGGTCATTGATGGCCGATCAGAAGGATTGGTCTGAATGCACCACAGACTTACTAATACCATCTTTCTTGCTACTTCTTTTTCCTCCTCAGATATAGCGCCAAAAACAATATCATCCTTATCTAGCTCTAGATCTTTATAAACACAATGTGGAAACATTTCACTCGTATCAGACACTCCTGAATCCAAGTTCTTTCTTGCTCCAACCATTTCAAGAACCAACATCCCGTAGCTGTAAACATCAGATTTGTGAGAGACGCCTCCAAAGTTCCGACTAAACACTTCTGGTGCTATGTATCCTGCAGTTCCTCTTGTGCCTAACATCGACACAATACTCTCCTTCGTTTTGCATAATTTGGCCAGGCCAAAATCAGATGTTCTGTGGCTTTATGTCAAAATGCAGAATTCTCGTGTTACATCCATGGTGTAAGTATTCTAGTCCTCGTGCAATGCAAACTGCAATTTCAGACAGTGTTTTCCATTCTAAGCGACAATTTGCCAGTTCAGAACTGTGCTTATGTATGAAATTATCCAGAGATCCGTTAGGCATGAACTCTTAAATCAAAGCCCTTTTGTCCCTCTCATAACAGAATCCAGAAAGAGTGACTATGTTGACGTGGGAAGTTCTACCAATGCTAGCAACATCATTAATAAATTCTTCCCCGTTACCCTTCGACTCGCTTAGGACTTTTACCGCCACGAGAAGGCCATCAGGTAGCCTGCCGTTGTACACGGTTCCATATCCACCTTTACCTATTTTATCTTTGAACGAGTTTGTCATTTTCTTGACATTTGCATAACTACTATACCTCTTTGGAGTAAACGATCCATAGTTCCTAATAAGTGCCTCAACATCAAATTCAAACTTTTATCTTTCTAGAAGAAGGCCAATATTCTTTTCCTTGTTATGCATATGGTAAAAAAAAATGATTATGATGATCGACGGAACAGCAACCGCAATGCCTATATATGGAAAAATTGTTCAAGTTATATGCATTTCAGTGATTTGTGAAAGAAAACAAAGATCGAAACTTCTGGTATTTTCTATTTATCATATATACTCACCTACGCCCAATTGTTTCCGTGAACCTGCACAGAAGAAAGGTTAAATCATAAGAGTTCTTAATTTGATAATAGAAAATGATCATTTGTGTAATTTAAAGACTAGAAAAACTAAGCATAAGTACAAAGTAAGGCATAGCATGAGTGGTTAAGTGTCATCAGTGGCGGATCCAGGATTATGTGGCCAAGGGGGCTTAGTGTAAAAGTTCTGAAATTTTTCTACAAAGAAAATAATGCTAAAAAGATAGAAAGATAGTACTTCCATTCATAATTCATAACAAAACCAATAATACAAGTTACAATTGTCCACGACGAGTTTTCATATTCTGAAAACGTTGCATTATAGTTTCGTTATCAATACAAGCAAAAACATCTCTCTCAATGTAAACAATCAAGCTATCATTCAACCATTGATCTCCCATTCTGTTGCGAAGTGGATTTTTAATAATATTCATGGCGGAAAATGCTCTCTCCACTGAAGCAGTTGCAACCGGTAAAACCAAAGCCAATGTAAGAAGCAAATACACATAAGGAAATATTTCATGCATTCCTTTCTCCACCAATTTTTCCGCAAGACTACTAATCCATTCCAATTGAGAAAAATCAATACTCGAACACATATGATGAACATAAACACCAAGTTGATTTTCAAGCATCAATAAGTCTCTATCCGAAAAATCATAAGGATAAAATTGAGCAAGACGAACTAGCTTTCGTTTGTCAAAAGCTACAAAGTTATTTTTTGGACTCAAGCATGCCGAACAAGTAAGTAACTCAGTACTTACCTCGTTGAAGTGATCATTTAGTTCCGCAAGTTGTCCATCAATTACATGAATAAAGATCTCCACACGATAACGATGATAATTTGTCTTCATTGGAGCATTACGCCGTGACCTCCCTGGAATTACATATTCCTCATCCATGGTAGGAACTATAATATCATGTTTGTAACAAAACAAAGATGCTTGCTCAACCAATTCTTCAAACTCATTATCCCTCATGAACTTCAGGTTTTCCTTGTATGTTGTCACTAAACTCATTGCACTTACAATGTCTTGATCTTTCTTTTGCAATGCTAGAGACAAAGTGTTTGTTATTTCCAATATAGCTTTCATTAAAAATAAGTGAAACACAAACTCAAAAGATTGTATTTCTCTCCATAACTTATAGGCTTCACCCGAGCTATCATTAGGATTATCATAAACAATCATTTGAAGCACATTCACCACAGATGGGAACATAGAAATGATACTAATCAACGTACCATAATGTGAGTTCCATCGTGTATCGCCGGCACGTTTGAGAGTAGTTTCTTGATTTAAGCCCCGCCCCGTTATAAGACAATCTTCTTCAAAAGCTCTCACAAGCTCTTCTTGGTATTGTGCTCTAAATGCATCCCGACGCTTACAAGATGCTCCAACAACATTGACCAAACTATTAGCCGTTGTGAAAAAAGAGTTGACATCAATGTTTTTCTTTGCTACCGCAACAAGAGCTAGTTGAAATTGATGAGCAAAACAATGAACATTAAATGCACAAGGTTGTTCTCTCAAAATATTTGTCTTAAGACCATTGAACTCACCTCTCATATTACTAGCTCCATCATAACCTTGTCCTCGTAACTTGGAAAAGCTCAAATTCGAGGAAGAAAAGAATTCATCAATGGCTTCCTTTAGTGCACTTGAAGTAGTGTCGGTCACATGTTGAACCCCCACAAACCTTTCAATGATTTGTCCTTTGTCATTCACATCCATTTGCTCCTTTATTGAAACATCCCGTGCTTCATCCACCATTATTGGAAAATATCTATCTTTTACATCACTCAAGATAAGACCAATGGTTTCTTTAGCACAAGAATTGATAAGATCTTTTTGAATTGAAGAAGCTATTAACTTCAAATTTCCTGGAGCATTTTCCAACACAACGGCCTTAACTTTTTCATCATGATCTGCAAGAAATTGCAAGAGCTCTAAATAATTCCCTCTATTACTTGATTGTGCACTATCATCATGACCACAAAAAGAAAGACCTTGTCGCAACAAATACCTAGTGCACTTAAGTGATGCATTCAAGCAAGTGCGATAAGCCCTGCAAGCTTGGCTTGTTTGCTTGATGACAATTGTTTCAATGTGTGTAGTTTGATGCATCAAATTGTAAGCAACTTCTCTAGCTTGGTTGTGAACACTACCAACCGGTCCAACATGAAGATTAAATCTTTCTTTCGCCTTCTTCCAATTATTGAAGCCTACCCCAGTGAATGCATCACCACCCACTTGATCAAAATTTGATTTGAAGAGATAACAATGAAGACAAAATGCAGCATCTTTAGCAATACTATATTCCAACCAATCATGATCATCAAACCAATTAGCAATGAAGCGTCTATTAATTCCTGATTGATTAGTTTGTGGGAATTTATAACTTCTAGGTTGACAAGGTCCCTTTTGTAGATATGCTCTTCAGATCTCATCCCGAATATTAGGATTATAATCCGCCATTCGAGTTCTTAGTCCAGGTTCTGCCTGAAGATTAGCTAAGATCTCATCTACTTCAACTGGTCTTGCATTTGAACTATCCGGATTAGACGGAGAAGGACTATCCGTAGACAATTTTCTTTTAAAGAATCGTTCCATAAATCTACAAATCAATTAATTCAATCAATCATTAATTTTTACCCAAATTATCATATGAATATGAAAATGTCAATAACTCACTCTCAAAATTCAATATACTCCCTAAACCCATATCAATCAATATTCAATATACTAAATTATCATATCAAATATCAATTAATATTCAATATACTCAATCAATTCACATTTTCAATCAAGCATAAACTCAATCAATCTACATTAATATGATTATCACTATGATTC